CATAGAGGAACTGATTTGTTGATACCTCTAAGTCTTTTATAATTTTTGTGTAGTGCCACTTGATGGCACCACTCGGATAGTTTGGCCTTGAGAAACGACATCCTTCTAGCCACCGTATCTACCTCGTCCATCTTATATTCTTTGATTAAAATTTCTCTCCATGGACTGGGTATCTTTGCAAAGAACAATTGAGAGGCTTCAGAATCTGCTACCTTGGCCTTCCATCTATACTCCGTGAATAACTTGATATATTCATCTACATGAAAAATGTCATGTAATTCTAAACAATAGAGGGCTTGTTTGTATCTCTTTTGTTTTTCTTCCTCTACTCCTTCAAAATATCCTGTGCCGATAAATAAGATCTTAAATACTCTTGCCATATTATCGACTATTCCTTTTAATGATTCTCCAGCAATGACATCTCCTTTTACGTCTGGAGAAGCCATATCCCAAGCAATTTTAACTGAACCTTCTAGGCTCATTTCGAGAAGTGAAATGAACCCTTCTTTGTTGAGATCCAATGTCCCTCCAGCAATTCTCATTGCAGAGGCCCAATCATCGATAAGGATCTCCCGATTTTTAAAATCTAAGGTATCTAGATTCAACATTAACCCATAAGGATGAATTGGATCTAGTTGCGATTTCCCATAAGGGGTATTTTGAAGGTTAGGCCTTCGGGAACGCATTCGGGTACCCGCCGGATGCCCGCTTTCTCCCCGAACCTGAAAATCCCCTTGATGGGGCATATGTTGTTCCTCAGGTTGGTGAGAACCCGAACTTTCTCCTCCAGGAGGTGGTTGGGATCTAGTTACTATTGTTGAACCATCTCCCGTATTCATTTTTAAGTCTACTAGGCCCAGACCTGCAAAGGATTCTGCAAGGTCATGTAGATTCTCCAAATTCACTCTTTCCATTATTTGTTAGTGAATTTTCCTTTTAAGATAGCCCTCATCTTTTCGTCCTCTGTCATAGGCCTTCGAACTTCGGTGGGTTTACCCTTTTGGTGTAATAGAGGTACTGTTCCGAAGGTTACTTTTCTTCGTCCTCCAGAAGAACTCGGCCTATCTTCTAGAGTTTTAACTCGCTTTTGAATGTCAATAAGGATTTCTAATGTATCCTTTTGACTCTTCATTAGTTCTTCAATTTTGGTTAGCGTCTGGTGTACCTTGTTTGGTACAAGCAATTGCTTTTCACCATAGCTTTGTATCGTCTTTTGCAGTTCGCGAATATCTTCCGAAAATTTAGACGAGTCTGG